TATGTATATATATATATATATATATACATTTTATATATTTTATGCATTTTATAAATAATGTATTTATAGAAATATAGAAATAATATTTATGTGACCGGAAGCGACATGGAGAGATTGGGGGATCGGGAAAGGTCTATATATATACTTAGTACACTTGTATGTAAATTATAATAAAAAATTTATAATTTGTAAAAAACAAATTGTAAAAACTTTCCAAAATATAAGTCTGTGTGTATAATATGTGTATATTTCTATACAGAATGTTGACTGTGATCTTGTTTGGACGCAGCTGCAGGGTAAGGACAAAGAGCCTCTGGTGGAGGCGGAGGTGCTGCAGGTTCACGCGCCGCCGTTTGTGACGAAGGAGAGTTCCAGTAACGGCACTGAACACGACCACGCTCCGGCCTTCAGCAGAGTCCAGCGGAGACGCTCCTTTAAGAAGAAGAGAGACCGACTGGTTTCCACCATCAGCAATTCTGGCCAAACCAACGAACCAGCGGTCGCCGCGTCAGACGACCTCAGCGTACCACAGAACATTGACCTGATAGCCCTGCCGCAGCTCTGCTTCCCAGGTAACCCTCGCAGACGCCTCAGTCTGGTGTTCTGTGTCTAACAGTAACGCTGACAGTGTCTGGTTTGTCTTTGGACAGATGGGTTGAGAATAACCAGTGAGAGCAGAGAAGACGACTATCATTTCCTGGTGTTCACGGATGTGTTTGGGAACCAGACTCATGGTGTGGTGGCTCAGTACTGCAAACCTGTTCACGTGAGATGTCTTATCATTAGCTAAGAGTATTATCTATACTACTGTAATAATTATGATAAAAAAAACAACATATACACTACCATTCAAAGGGGGTCGGTAAGATGATTCTTTATTGCATTTACTTGATCAAAAGTACAGAAAAACAGTAATATTGTGAAATACTATTACAATTTAAAATAGAATAATAACAAAATAATAGTTTTCTATGTGAATATACAGTATTTTAAAATGTAATTTATTCCTGTGATCAAAGCTGAATTTTTCAGCATCATTACTCCAGTCTTCAGCGTCACATGATTCTTCAGAAACATTTCTGATTATTATCAATGTTGAAAAATGTTGTGCTACTTCATATTTTTGTGGAAACTGTGATGCATTTTATTTTTCAGGATTCTTTGATGAATGGAAAGTTTAAAACTACAGCATTTGTTTGAAGCAGAAATCTTATGTAACATTATAAATGTTTTTACTGTCACTTTTGATCAATTTAATGCATCCTTTGCTGAATAAAAGAATCCCCAAACCCTTTAAATGATAGTGTATGTAAAAATATGTATGATTTATAATAAATATGAATAATAATTATTAAATTCCCATGTAAAAAGTTTGTAAAATGTAGTCGCTTATTCATTTTTTCATGTTGTGTTACTGTAGTTCCATCCAGATAATGGGATTCATCAAAACGGCCATCGGCTGAACAAACTCCAGCGTCTGTTCACCACATACAGCATCTGTATCATCTCCAAATATCCATATTATAACGCCCTCAGAGACTGTCTGTCCAGGTAAGACCCACTCCATAACGTTATATAGCTGTAACATGAAGTATTTGTTCTAATCAGTTTATTTCTCTGTCGTAGTTTCTTGCTCCAGCTAAAAATGTCCCGCATGTGTGAGTTTGAAGAGCAGGTGAAGGAGTTTTCTGCCAAACTGGCGCTGGTGCCCATCCCGCCTCCTGGACCGCTGCATGTGGTGAGCATCATCACTGTTTACTCATAAATGTGGTTATTTTACCTGTGCAAGGTATGCAAGCTGTTTCAGATCACCTAGTTCATTGTTGGTCTTTGTGGATGTTCCTCTAGGTGTTCAATCTCAGACCCTTTCAGATTGAACTTCCCTCCAGACTGGATGTGGATCGGCCCGTCATGGACCTCGATCTTCACCTGCCGTTTCTGTGTTTCAGACCCAAACAGATCCTGCAGGTCAGTCAGATCTTCATACCAAGTCTGTGCTTGTTACAATCGTATATATTTAGTAGTGCTGTCAAACGATTAATCGCGATTAATCGCATCCAAAATAAAAGTTTTTGTTTACATAATATATGTATGTGTACTGTGTATATTTATAATGTATATATAAATACACAAATACAGTATATATTTTGAAAATATTTGCATGTATATACATTTATATATTTATATTCCTATATTTTATATTATATGTAAATATATTAAACATATAAACATAACATATTTTTCTTAAATATATACATGCATGCATTTGTTTGTATTTATATATATATATACATAATAAATATACACAGTACACACA